TTAGAATGAAAATGACACTTTCAACTTACACAGTTGATAAATACCAAATGGTATCTTCTTATATGGAATAGTAGAGACAAAAAGGGAATTAAATATTGAAAAATGAAGCCACACCTATAATCCTAGCACTTGGAAGGTAGAGGGAAGAGCATCAGTTCAAGACCAGTCTCAGCTACAGAGAGAGTTCAAGGTCAGAATGGGATACTTGAGACTCAGTTTCTAAAAACCAAACAAGACATGTTTTTGTGGGGGGTTTCTTTACATTGGCCAAAAAAAAAAGCTGTCTTTCCATTCCATTTCACACTTCCAATTCTTCTTCAGCTCAGGACTCTGAGGTCCTTTCAACTACTTCCAACATCAAGTGTTAAGTCAGAGTTGAAATATACATGCCCTTCCATGAAATCATTACAGAGCTTACATCTACCCCTTGTTTAGACTGTATCAGTCCTGAATATCTGCTTAGCAGCACTGGTCTTAACTGCCATATTTTCTTGTTTTGCTCTGTTAGCTCCTCCTCGTTAGCTTCGGGGTAGCCTCAAACTAATGATAGGCCAAAGATGATAGGCTGTACCCACCACAACCAGCTTCATTTCAGTTTTTGGGTTTCTGGAGATCAAAATCAGGGTGCTACATATACTAGGCAAACACCCTTCTAATTGGCTCTCTCCTTCTACCTTGTTTTGAGGCAAGGTCTCTCATTTCTGCCTTACTGCACTGTGTCCACCAGGCCAGGAAGTCTGCAAGCTCCCAGGTGATTCTCCTGTCTCCCATCTCAATGGAAGACTGCTGGGATTACAGGTGTGCATTATCACATCCAACATTTTTTTATATGGGTTCTGGGGCTCAAAGTCAGGTTTCAGATTAGCACTTTTAATCACTGAGCCACCTCACTGGTTCTTTTCAATTTTTCTTTTACATTTATTTATGGAGGGGTGAGAGGGTTGGTGACAAGTACGCTTACCCCCTGAGTCATCTCCAAACTCATAATGTAGCTAAGGCTGGCCTTGAACTCCTGTCTCCATCACCCATGTACTAAACTATGGATATTCACCAGCAAGCCCAACATAATTTTTCAATCTCTACCTATTCTTCCTTTTGTTTCTAAACACAAGCTGTTCTTAACTACAATGTGGATCATTATTATACTTGATAAAGATGTACTAAGATACAAGCAACAGCCTTCTTTGCTAAAGGAATATACACAGAAGCCATCTTTCACTTCAATTATTTCCTTTCTCAGAAATTTTGTTTGTTTGAAACAATGTGTCACTCTGTAGCCCAGATTCTTCTTGAAGTTGAGGAGCTCCTCCTGCCTCAGCTGAGTGTTGTGACTGTAGGCCTCAGCTACCACACCCAGCTTGAAATTTTCAATTGACAGGTGTTCTAAATGCATTTTATAGTATTTAACAGGAAGAACAGAGAAATCACTTTTAAAAGTCAGAATGACTCTCAGCCTGGTAGCATACACTTTTAATCCCACTACTTGGGAGATAGAAGCAGGTGGATCTCTGTGAAATTGAGGCTAGCTTGATCTATCTAGTGAGTTCAAGCCAACCAGGACTACATACTGAGACCCTGTCTTAAAGTCAAAATAAAATTGGGCATGGTGGCACAAGCCTGTAGTCCTAGCACTCGGGAGGCAGAGGCAGGTGGAGCTCTGTGAGTTCAAGGCCAGCTTGGTCTACATAGTGAGTTCCAAGCCAGCTGGGGCGGCGGGGGGCTACAGGGAGAACCTATCTCACAAAGACACCAAAACAAAAAAGTCAGAATGAACTGGATGACTAACATTATTCGTCCTATACAATTCTTGAAATGTGGGGGCTGGAGAGATGGCTCAGTGGTTAAGAACACTAACTGTTCTTGCAGAAGACCCGGGTTCAAATCCCAACACCCACATGGCAGCCAACAATTGTCGGTAACTCCAGTTCCAGGGCATCTGACAGCCTCTTCTGTCCTCCACGGGCATTGCAGGACACAGGTGCACTTACCTACATGCAGGCAATACATACATACACATAAAATAAAAATAATAAATAAAATATTAAAAAAAAATTCTTGAAATGTGGATACTGACAATTACTAGCTTTGGTCAAGCTTCAACAAACTCTGTCCTACACTGTTGGGTAATTTCCAGCATTCTGATCATCCAGGAACTGATGCCAAAGTTAAGGACACAGGGGTAAAAATGCCTTAAATAGCTCAACTCTGTTGCTCTTATTTTTATTTATTTATTTTATTAATTTTTTTGGTCTTTTTGAGACAAGGTCTCCCTGTGGCCCCAGCTGGCCCTATATTCACTATGTAAACCAGGCTGGCCTCAATCTCTACCTCTGCTGAGATTAAAGGTGTACACCACCAAGTCTGGCTGCTTATTTTTTTAATATATAGTTTATTTATTAGTTTTATTTTATGTGTATGAGTGTATTGCCTGCATGTATGTGAGTGCACCCGTGTCGTGCAATGCCATGGAGGTCAGAAGAGGGCATCAGATTCCCCTGGAACTGGAGTTAAGGACGGCTTATAGCCACCATGTGGGTGCTGGGAAATCAAACCCAGGTCCCTCTGCAAGAGCAGTCAACTCTTAACTGCTGTGCCATCTCCCCAGCCCCTGGCTGCTTACTTTTAATTTTAAGAAATTGTTATTGTGTTTGTGCATGATGCATATGTGTGGGTGGGTGTGCCACAGCACCAGTGTAAAGGTCAAAGGACAACTTTTTGGAGTTGGTGTTCTCTCCCCACCTTTATGTAGGTCCTGTAAAGGTTAAAAGCAAACACCTTTACCAGTTGAGCCATTTGCTGGCTGGTTGTTTTTGTTTGGTTTGTCACAAGCTTTGGCCTACTGCTCACTAAGTAATAAAACATTCATTGCTGCTGACTCATGAATGTATTTTAGTGACTTAAAGGCCCTAAAAAAATTAGTTGCGAATTCTTGGAGAGCCAAACCCTTAAGCATTACACCTGCAAACAGGGTGCAAAGATAAAGTCACTATCAATTGCTTTGAGAAATGTTCAGATCACTCTAAACAGATTTTAACAGCAGCTAAGAGGACTGGCTATCCTTTATCTTTAAAGGGATTTATGATAAAACTATACATGTGCAAAATTATTTTACATAATTCCTGCTCTGGCTTGAGACCAGGAATTCCTGCTTAGACATTTAAAACATTTGTTTACCATGGTGACCACTGGTCTCTACCTGAGTTCCATAGGCAATTTCTACATTCTTCTCAGGTGTACCAAGTAAATGAGTGTATCATACCCAGCAGATGAACTCTCAAGTCAAGTGTCAGTAAAGCCTTATATTTTTTTTGGGGGGGGGGGGGCGTGTGCGTGCGTGTGCGTGTGCGTGTGTGTGTGTGTGTGTGTGTTGCTAGGTATCAAATCCCATTCTAGGCTCTCAATCACTAATCTATATCTCCAGCCTAAAATAAGTTTTTAAGTTAGTCTTATAGTTTAATCTTAGAACATTTATTTACTTTTATTTTGTGTCTAAGTATTTTGCCTGAATGCATGTAAGTACACCACGTGTGTGCAATGCCTAGGGACGTCAAAAGAGGGTGTCTGATTCCCCAGAACTGGAGTTATGGGTGGTTGTAAGCTACCATATGGCTGCTGAGAACTGAACCCAGGTCCTCTGCAAGGGCACCAAGTGCTCTTAACCACTCCATAATCATACATTATTTTATTTTATTTTTTGTCTTTTTGAGACCGGGTCTCCTTGTAGCCCCAGCTATCCTGGAACTCACTATGTAGACCAGGCTGGCCTTGAACTCACAAAGATCCACCTGCCTCTGCCTCCCAAGTGCTGGGATTAAAGGCGTGTGCCACCACGCCCGACCTCATAAGATTTTAAACTGGACCTCTGAATGTTTTTCTCTGCCACAAACATACACTCACAAAAACATACTGGTAACACTACTAACAATGAAAATATAAAGGCGAACAGAGATTGGTAGATGTTTCTGAAATAAGATGGAGAATGTTTAACTCCAGATTCTGTCATTTCTAACAACCTACATTCTCAGGGCTTGTTCATTCTTTAAAAAGAATGAATCCACCTTGCCAACCAGGTTAAATGACTGGAGTAGCAGGTTAAATGACAGAGAAACAGAGATAACGGCCTAGCCCCGTTTGTGCAGTCAATCTGGTAGCTATTATCATTGTAACAATATTGAGGAGCATGGCTGCAAGCATTGCCAAAATCTTCCCAGCGAAAGCAACTCTAACGCACACAAATAGGCACCTTTTTGGTGCTGAATAGTTATCAGGTATGCTCCTTTGCTTAATGTTCTATTACCTCCTCCTTTTAACAGGGAAACTCCCTCTAGGTCTGGGTCTGAGACAGAATCCAAAGGCTGCACTTACTACATCACACCGAACGCCATTCCAAGATGAGTCCTCTCAAATAGAAGAACAGATCTGCAGCCAGAGATTTAAGTCTGAAAATCTCTAGGGCTCACTCTCCCTTATCTAAACTCGAACACTACCCAACGCTAATCTAACATCAAAAGACAGAACAAACTCGCTGGTTTTTAGAGGGTGGGCTGATGAGTCACACAAACCAGGTCTTAAGGCCTGCTGTAAGGAACATGCTACCTGAATGACCAAACCAAGATTCCTCTTCTGCAAAACCGAGCTAAGAATAGCGCCCACTTCACCAGCTGTTTTGAATATTAGGGCACCGATCTACACACACCACGCGGTACGGGGCCGATGAGCTTCACTGCACATCACCGGAACCCCGGCAAAGGGGCGGGAGGAACAATAGTCGAAAAGGTGGTGTGTCCCAGAGTGACCCGGGGGCCCCAGAGCGGCCTCCCCACCCCGCCCCCGCCGGCTCTCACCGCTCTTGGGTTTAGACTCGCCGACTGGCCCCGCCGAGGTGGAGCGGGGCGGCTGTTGCCCTTTGCTGCTGCCCGAAGAGGCGGAGGAGCTGTTGGAGCCGCTGTTCTTGTCCATGTCGGAGGCGGTGGCGGCGGCGCTGGGGGAGCTCTGCGGCATCAAATGGGGCCTCGGCGGCGACGGCGGTCGGAGCGGAGCGGGCGCGGCGGGGAGCCAGGCTCATGGCGTTCAGGGCCGGCGGGGGTCGGCGGCGGCAGCGGTTCTCGGCCTTCATGGCGACATTTTTCCTTGTTTCCTTCTTCAGCTTCTCGAAATAGAAAGAGAAGCGGCGGGCGGGGCCGTGGAGCCCAGCGGCGGCGGTGACCGAGAGGAGGAAGAGGCCGGGGCTCGGAGGTCCGGGCCGGGCCTGGCGGGGCGGAGGCTGCCCGGGAAGGGGAGACGAGGGAGGGTGCGCGAGCCCCGCCGGCCGGCCGGACACGCTCTCCCGCCGCGGGGCAGGAGAGAGGGCTAGTTATCTCAGTGCCGGGGACCCAGGTCTCCGACACAGGACCGACACTCGCCTCTAGGCCGAGGCCGAGCTGCTCCGGGAATGGCGACGAGTCGCCAAACAGCATCTCGCAGAACCCGGATGGACTATTTATATAATCGAGAGGCGAGAGCGACGCATTCTGGGAAGTGTAGTTTTCAGCCACATCCGAGTCCAGCGCTTTCTCCCTCCCGTTTCTCTCAAGAGGGATTTGGATTGCAGGACCTGTAGCTCCTACCAACGTTTCTTGTTCTTTTCTTACCCTACTTTCTTTTTTCTTTTTGAGACAGGGTCTCACTATATTGCCCTGGAACTATGTAGACCAGGCTGGTCTCGGACTCATTGAGCGTCTCCTGCCTCTAACTAAAGATGTGTGCCACCATGCCCAGCAATTTATTTTTTCAGTTATGTGTGTGTGTGTGTGCAAGTGCAGGTGTCCGCAGAGACCAGAAGAGTACGGTGTCAGACCCCTCGGAGCTGGACTTACGGGCCGTTGTGAACCCCGCCCCCCCAGGGTGGGTGCTGGGAACCCAAGTCAGTCCTCTCTAAAGCAGTACCTGCTCTTCACAGCTGAGCCATCTCCCCAGACCCTTTTGGTCTTTTTTGTTTGTTTATTTGTGTGTTTGTTGTTTGCTGAGATAAGGTCACATGTAACCCAGGCTGGCCTCTAACTCACTATGTAGCTGAGAATGACCTTGAACTTACGATGTTCATGCCCCCCACCTCCCATAGTGTTTCACCATGCCCAGCCTGATTTATGGTTCTTATTGTTATTCTGGTGCTGAGGATCAAGTCCAGGGCTTCACCCATGCGAGGCAGGCACTCTAACATCTAAGCTATATCTCCATGCCCTGTATAGACTTAAAAAATTGTGTGTGTGGTGAATAGGCATATGGGTGTGCAGGTACCTGTGTGTGTATGTTGAGGCTGGAGGAATAGATTGAGTGCCTTCCTCTATTGCTCTTCCCACCCTCCTCTTTAAAATTTTATTATTTTGTTTGTATGAGTTTTTTAATCTGCATGTATGTAAGTGCACCTGTACAGCAGTGCCCCCAGAGGCCAGACTAGGGCATTGAATCCCCTATGGGTGGTGGGAACCAAACCTGGGTTCTTAACCACTGAGCCATCTCTCCATCCTTTTTTTTTTTTTTTTTTTTTTTTTTTTTTTTTTTGTACTGGCTGGTCAGCAAGCTCCCAGGATCTACCTATTTCCATCTCCCAAAACTGGGGTAATGGGCACATGTGGCCATGCCTGGCTTTTTACATAGGTGCTGGGGATTCAAACTCAGGACCTTATGCTTTCACAGCAAGTGCTCTTACCCAGAGAGCCACCTCCCTAGTCCCTATGGTTCTTATCCTCATATTAATAGCCGTGGATTTCTAGCTTTTGTTCTCTCATACTATTAATATTAATAATATCTTTTATTTCACAGTACTTTATAGTGCTTCCTCATACAACATTCCATTTTGTTGGTGATTTATTAACATAAATAATGTTCCATTTCATTGTTAATCATAATAGTTATCATTGGAGGCTGGTGAGATGGCTCAATCAGTGAAGTGCTTGTCATGCAAGCATGAAAACCTGAGTTTGAGCCCCTGAACCCATGTAAAAAGTGTGGCAGCATGCACCTGTAAACCCCAGGTCTGGGGAGGTGGAGACGTGAATATCCCTGGGGCTTGCTGGCCAACCAGTGTCACTGAATTGGCAAGCTCCAGGTTCAGTAAAAGACCCTGCTTCAAACAATAAGGTGGAGCGCCGGTGAGATGACCTGCATTTGATACCCAGGACCTACATGGTGGCAGAATAGAAAAAATTCCTTCAAGTTGTCTTCTGACCTTCCCACACACAGGCATACACACACACTAAATAAACGTTAAGAAAAAAATAAGGTAGAGAATGCCTACAGAAGACACCGAAAGTCAGTCTCTAGCAAGCACATACACATATGTGCATACACATGTGAACATGTATACACAAGTAGTATTGACTGCTTATCATTGGTAGTCACAATGCTGTGCTATTAACATGGATTATCACATTTTTTTAAATTTTATTATTTTTATTTTATGTGTACAAGTGTATTGCCTGCATGTATGTGAGTGCACCCATGTTGTGCAATGCCGCAGACTTCAGAAGAGGGCTTCGGATTCCCCTGGAACTGGAATTAAGGACAGTTTGTAGCCACCATGTGGGTGCTGGGAATTGACCCCAGGCCTCTGCAAGAGCAGTCAGTGCTCTTAACCACTGAGCCATCTCTCCAGCCCAGATTATCACATTTTTTTAAAAATTCTCTTGATGCTGGTCATGATGGCTCATCCTTTTAATAACAACACTTGGGGGACAGAGGCAGGTGGATCTCTGTGAGATGAAGGCCAGCCTACTCTACATAGCAAGTTCCAGGTCAGTTGAGGCTACTGGGAGATCCTGTCTCAGGAACAACAACAACAAAATTCTTTTGGGAGGGTGTTTCTGAGGATGGAACTCAGTATCACTCTATAGTGAGCTACATCCCAAACCCCACAAGAAGTAAATTTTATAATTTTTGTGTTTGAGACAGGGTCTCACTATGTAGTACTGGCTGCCTTGGAACTCACTATGTAGACAAGGCTGGACTTGAACCCATAGAGATCATCCTGCTTCTGCCTCCCAAGTGCTAGGACTAAAGGTGTGCACCACCATGCCTGACTACATTTTATAATTTTTTAAGATTTTATTTTACTGGGGCTGGAGAGATGGCTCAGTGGATAAGAACACTTGCAGTTCTTCCAGAGAACCTTGGTACAATTCCCAGCACCGATATGGCAGCTAACAACCTTCACTAACTCCAGTTCCAGAGAATCCAACACCCTCTTCTGGCCCCTGTGGGCATGACACAGGTGTACTTACATACATGCAGGCAATACACTCATACACATAAAATAAAAATAATAGATAACAAGTTTTTTAAAAGATTTTATTTGGGGGCTGGAGAGATGGCTCAGCTGTTAAGAGCACTGGCTGCTCTTGCAGAGGAGCCAGGTTCAATTCCCAGCACCCACATCGTGGCTACGAACCGTCCTTAATTCCAGTTCCAGGGTAATCCGACACCCTCTTCTGATCTCCGCGGCATTGTACGATACATGTGCACTCACGTACATGCAGGCAATACACTCATACACATAAAATAAAAATAATAAAATTTTAAAAAGATTTTATTTTACTTTTAATTATGTGTGAGTGGGTATGTACACCACATGCGAAAATAAAAATAAAGTGAACATGAGGTTAGAAAGCAATTAATTAGAAAATGCTAATCAGAGGCTCCAGTAGAAAAGTACCAACAGTTGAAGTGGCAAAGAAGAACTCCCTAGGGACCTGAAGGGATGACGCAGCGGTTAAGAGCACTTACTTCTCTTGCAGAGGATCCGGGTTCAATTCCCAACACCCGCTAGTGATTCAGGGTGGTGGTCACCAGGCATGAATGTGGCACAAATCTGCAGGCAAAACACTTGCATATATATGCATAAAATTATTTCTTTTTAATTTTTAAAATTTATTTTTTAATGTGTATAAATGTTATGTCTGCATATAAGTGCACCTATGTCATGTAGTGCCTGCAGAGGACAGAAGAGGGCGTCAGATTCCCTGGAACTGGAGTTACAGACTGTTACATCCAGTGCTCCTAAACAATGAGCCATCGCTCCAGCCCCAATATTTTTTTTCTTTTTCTTTTCTTTCCTTTTTTTTTTTTTTTGAGACAGGGTCTCCCTGTAGCCCCAACTGGCCTAGAACTCTCTATGTACATCAGGCTGGCCTCAAACTCAGAGATCTGCCTGTCTCTGCCTCCTGAGTGCTGGGATTAAAGGGGTGCACCACCACACCTGGCCCCCAATAATTTCTTTTTAAATGAAGGACTTCCTAGAGGTGTTTCTACATAAAGGATGAGTGAACACATAAGGATGTGTTGATTTTTTTTTAATGGTGCTGGGGATCAAACCCAGAGCTTAATGCATGCAAGCAGGCTTTCAGCCTCTGAGCTACACCCTCAACTGGTGAGTAAAATTTTAACAATCATTTAAGAATAAAGGAGAGCCAGGTATAGTGGCACATGCCTGTAATCTTAACACTCAAGAAACTGAGACAGGAAATACAGAGTTCAAGGTTAGCCTGGGCTACCTGGACTTAGCCTGGACTTAGCCTGGGCTACCTGGACTTAGTTTTAAAACAACAGAAAAAAAAAAAAAAAGGTACAGCCAGTGGTAAAGCACTTGTATTGGCAAGGCTGTAAGTTTGATCCCCAGTATCACAGGGGAAAAAAGAATAAGGATGTATGAATCAATCTCTAATTTGGCTCTTTATCAGACAGTAGACAAGATATTAAGCATGCAGACATATATCACTTTCTCTGAATTAACAGTTTAAAATGGGATGAAGATAGATACAAGTATCTTTTAGGGGAGAGGAGACAGAGTCTCACTATGTAGACCAGGCTGGCCTCAAACCCACAGAGATCCCCCTGCCTCTGCCTCCCAGTTGTTGGAATTAAAGGCGTACACCACCATGCCTGATATAAGTACCATCTCTTAAATGTTTATTTTTATTATTTTTTCTTTTTGAGACAGGGTCTCCCTATAGCCCCAGATGGCCTGGAACTCACAGAGATCTGCCTGCCTCTGTCACCCAAGTGCGAGGACTAAAGGCATGCACCACCATGCCCAGCTAAATGTTTTATTATTATTAATTAATTTTGTGTCTGTGTGTGTGTATGTTACGTGCACACAAACATGCACACATCAGAGGACAACTTGCAAGAGTCAGTTCTCTCCTTCAACCATGTGGGTTCCCAGAATCAAGTGCTGGTTTTCAGGCTTGGCACAGCAAGTATTTTTACCTTTTGAGCCACCTCACTGGCCCATAAGTATCATCCTTTTTTTAAAAATTTTTATTTATTATTTTTATTTTATGTGTACGCATGTAATGCCTGCATGTGAGTAAGTGCACCCGTGTCATGCAATGCCTGCAGAGGTCAGAAGAGACTGTCAGATCCCCTGGGACTGGAGTTACAGGCAGTTGTTAGCTGTCACGTGGGTGCTGGTATTCGAACCCAGGTCTTCTGCAAGAACAACCAGCATTCTTAGCTGCTGAGCTCCAGCATTTCCTTGAAATGCCCTCATCAGTTCCTTTTTTTCTTCGCCAGCACTGAGATTGAATGAGTTCCAGCCTCAGCCCCACAACCTTTTTTGTTTTTTAATTAATTTATGTGTATGAGTGTTTTGTCTGCATGTATGTAAGTATACCTGTGCATGTAATGCCCAGAGAGGTCAGAAGAGGGTGTCAGATTCCCTAGAACTGAAGTTAGGGATGGTTGTTAACTGCCATGTAGGTGCTAGGAACTGAACCTGGGTCCTCTGGAGGAGCAGCCAATGTTCTTAACTCCTGAGCCATCTCTCCAGTCCCTTTGTTTTCTGTCTTTGAGACAAGGTCTCACTGTGTAGCCAAGACTGGCCTCAAACTCCCAATATGCTTGCCTTGTTCCTCCAAATCTTGATCTGTACCAATTTCTGTCTCTATTTACTCTTGTATGTGTGCTGAGGAGACACTAGGGCCCTGTACATGCTAGGCAAGGGCTTTACCTCAGTCTTCTTCTTATTTTGAGACAGGGTCTTGCTGAGTTGCGAAGACTAGCCTTGAACTTGGGATCCTCCTGCCTCAGCATCCCAAGCCAAAGTATCTGGGATTACAGGGCTTCACCAACAGGCCCAGCTTGCTTTATTCTTTACAGTTCCATATACACACACCAATCGTACTAAAGAAAATAGCTACATAGTCTTAGTTGGGATATCTAATATGATGAACAGAAGGAACAGCCCCAAATCCTGAGGTTCAGTGTTACATATAAGTAGATATAATAAAAATTCCTTGATGAGCCTTTATTTCCCAGAACAAAGACATGAGAATTATAAGTCTGTAGATGAATCATTTCTTCCTTCTGTCATTCATAAAAATCAAAGAGAGGGAAAGAGAAATTCCAGTGTAGTAGGTGTCCATCTGTCAGGCTATATTAAACTAAGAGACTTCTCATTTCAAAATAGTTTCTTAGGATCCTTGGCGATTTCTCCTTGTGAAATATTTACAGAAAATATTCATTTAAAAAGGGAATTAAAACAGAAACAGAAATTCAAGAAAAACTCAACAACCTCCATCCTCCCTTTTGCACAAGATGGTCTGTAAAACATTATTCTTCCCATTTAAAGAATAAAAATACCAGGAAGCCATGTCTAGTGATGCAGGCCTGTAGTCCCATCTAATTGAGAGGCTAAGCCAGGACAACTGCAAATTCAAGGCCTGCCTGGTTGACAGAGTGAGTTCAAGGCCAGCTTGGCCAACTTAGTGAGACCATGTCTCACAATAAAAAATAAAGGCCAGGTGTGGTGGCACATGTCTTTAGTCCTAGCACTCAAGAGGGAGAGGCAGAGGCCAGTGGATCTCTGTGAGATCGAGGCCAGCCTGGTATACATAGTGAGTTCCAGGCTAACTGGGGCTACAGGGAGACCCTATTCCAAAGAAACAAAAAAAGTTAGTTTTGTTTTTTTTTTTTGTCTTTTTGAGACAGGGTCTCCCTGTAGTCCCAGCTGTCCTGGAACTCACTATGCAGACTGGGCGAGCCCCAAACTCACAAACATCCACCTGCCTCTGCCTCCTGAGTGCTGGGATCAAAGGTGTGCGCCACCATGCCCGGCCAAAAAATAATTTTTAAATAAATAAAATATAAAGGTTGGTGAGATGGCTCAGCAGATAAAAGTGCTTGCCTTGCAAGTCTGAAGATTGGAGGTCAATTCCTGGAACCCACAGAGAACTGACTTCTGAAAGTTGTCATCTGATCTCCACACATAACACGGCACATGTGCCTGCACTCACACATTCCAAACACACTCATACACATAATAAATTTAAAAATCAAAAATAAATTTAAAAAGAACTAGAATAGCCAGGTGTGGTAGCGCACGCCTTTAATCCCAGCACTCTGGAGGCAGAGGCAGGTGGATCTTTGTGAGTTCGAGGCCAGCCTGGTCTACATAGTTTCAGGACAGCTGGGGCTACTAGGAGACCTTGTCTCAAAAAGACAAAAAAAAAAAAAAAAAAAAAAAGAACTAGAATATAGCTCAGTGGTACAGCACTTGCCAAGAATAGTCAAAGACCTGGGTTCAATCCCAAATACCATTAAAAGGTTGTGTGTGTTTGTGTGTGTGTGTTTGTGTTTGTGTGTGTGTGTGTGCTTCATAGCACAAGACTGTCATCTCAGTTCTCCATAGGAAGGCTGAATCAGGAATATTATGCTTGAATCCAGCTTGGACTACTTAATGGAGTTCTGGGCTCAAAAATAAAGAATAATTATATGAGGGCTAGAGAGATGGCTCAGAGTTAAGAGTGCTTCCTGTTCTTGAAAAGGACCCAAGTTCAGTTCCTAGAACCCACATTGTGACTCACAACTGCCTATATAACTCTAGTTCTAGGGGATTCAGTGCCCTTTTCTGACCTCCTCAGGATCCTGCATGCAGGTGCTACACATACATTCAGTGACACACACACATAGATACATAAAATAAAAATAAAATAAATTTGGGGCTGGAAAGATGGCCCAGCGGTTAAGAACACTGACTGTTCTTGCAGAAGACCCAGGTTCGAATCCCAGCACCCACATGACAGCTAACAACTGTCCATAAGTCCAGTTCCAGGGGATCCAACAGTCTTTTCTGTCATCAGATATTGCACAACACAGGTGTGCTTACCTACATGCAGGCAATACATGCATACACTATAAATAAAAATAATAAAATATTTTTTAAATTTTTAAAAAAAGGGCTTTAGAGATGGCTCAGTGGTTAAGAACACTGGTTGTTCTTGAAGAAGACCCGGGTTCAAATCCCAGCACCCACATGGCAGCTAACAACTGTCAGTAACTCCAGTCCCAGGGGATCTGACAGCCTCTTCTGACCTCAGGCATTGCATACATGGGTGCACGTACCTAAATAAAAAAATTTTTTTAATTTATTTTTATTTTATGTGTATGAGTGTTATATGTGCATGTGTGTAAGTGCACCCATGTTGTGCAGTGCCCAGGAAGGACAGAAGAGGACTTTGGATCCCCTAGAACAAGAGTCACAGATGGTTGTTAGCTGCCATGTGGGTGCTGAGATTTGAACTCCGGTCTTCTGCAAGAACACTCAGTGCTCTTAATGCCTGAGTCATCTCTCAAGCCCCGATAAATAAATTTTAAAAAATCATGTAAGGGAGCTGGGCATGGTGGAGCATGCCTTTACTTCCAGCACTTGGGAGGCAGAGGCAGACGGATCTCTGTGAGTTCAAGGCCAGCCTGGTCTACATAGTGAGTTCCAGGACAGCTGGGGCTACAGGGAGACCCTGTCTCAAAAAGACAAAAAAAAAAATCATGTAAGGAGCAGGAGCGATGGCTCATCAGTTAAGCCTGCTTACTGTTCTTCCAGAGGACCTGGGTTCAGATCCCAGTACCCACTTCAGGTGGCTCACAACCACTTGTAACAATAGCTCCATGAGATTTGCTGCCTTTTACCTCCTCAGGCACTACACTCATGTGCACATATACACACATGTATACATATAATTTAGATCTTTTTTAAGATCATGTGATCTAGCCAGGCATGGTGGCACACACCTTTAGTCTCAGCACTCAGGAGGCAGATGCAGGTGAATCTCTGTGAGTTCAAAGACAGCCTGGTATACATAGTGAGTTCCAGAACAGCTTGGGCTGCAGGGAGACCCTGTCTCACCCCCCAGCCCAAGCATTTGATCTTAGCTTTGTAACTACACCATGCCTCAATTTCACCTGTGTTCTGTATCAGAAAACAAAAGTTGCTAGATGTGGTAGCCCCAGGGCATTAATCCCAGCACTTGGGAGGCAGAAGCAGGCGAATCTCTTGTGAGTTCGAGGCAAGCATAGTCAATAGAGCGAGTTCCAGGGCATCCAGGGCTGCATAGCGTGACCCTGTCTTTTTTTTTTTTTTTTTTTTTTTTTTTTTTTTTTTTAAAAAAGAGGGACCACGGGGGGGGGGCCCCCCCCCCGTGGTCCCTCTTTTTTAAAAAAAAAAAAAAATTTTTTTTTTTTTTTAAAAAAGAGGGACCACGGGGGGGGGGCCCCCCCCCCGTGGTCCCTCTTTTTTAAAAAAAAAAAAAAAAAAAAAAAAAAAAAAAAAAAAAATGTTATTGTCCAAGTTGGTGCTGGGTCTACTGGTTAGCAGGACTGAAATATAGTTCCTAAGAGCGCTTAAGGGGCTCACCCTAAGCGCTCGTCCTTTCTGGTGAATTCTAAATTCAGTTAGGGAAGACAAGAAAGGCCTTCAGGTGTTCAAAGACTCGGTAGCCCTAGATAGATACCCTCAGATTGAACACGGCTTTTCGGGCGTGTTCTGCTAATAATGTCCCCTGCCAGCAGCCGTCATCCGCCTGGTGACGCAACCTGACGTTCTCTCTGGCCGCGCTCTCCCGGCTGTCAAGATGGCGGCGCCCAGGAGGCGTAGTTTATGGAGTTGCTGCGGACACGGGTGGTCGTGGGCCACGCGATGCTGTAGGGTCCCGGGACTATGCAGCTCCCGCACTTGGGGCCCTCTGGGTGCGTGGCCCTTATCCCAGCAGAAGCGAGCAGCGGAAACACACTTCGGGTTCGAGACCGTGCCGGAGGAGGAGAAGGGGGGCAAAGGTGACAGTGAAGGGCGCTGGAGGGATGGTCCGTAAGCCTTCTGGCTTCTCCCCATCCAAGGGGACTTAATGTCTGTTAGCCCTAGAGCTATGGTCCTTACAGTCCTGACTTCCCAGGAGTAACCCACCTGCCAAACCCAGAAACCACCCCCTTTGAGTCGGCGATCTGACCATGTAGATGGGATGACAGGCGTGAGCCTCCCCCTAGTGTTTTTCCTTTTTTTGAGACATGGTCTCCCTGTAGCCACAGGTTGCCCGGAACTCGCTATGTAGACCAGGCTGGCCTCGATCTCATAGATCTACTGCCACTGCGTCCTGCGTGCTGGTATTAAAGGCATGCACCACCATGCTCGGCTACATCCCCCAGCTCCCATTTTTAAACAGGAGTAATGACCTTTATTAAGTCCCACCAACTGAGAGCTTGTGATATGCCATGTGCCGTGTAGACATTCCCCCCCCCCAAATCTTTCACTTTAATTTTCCAATAGTGACTGTCGTTATCTCTTTATTAATAAATTGAGATTTAGAGGTTAAGCAAGATCTTGTACAATTTAAAATGGCTAGCTACGGTCTGGGATGTAGCTCTGTTCCTAGAGGACTTGTCTCTTGCCCTCGCAGATCTGGGTTCGATCCCCCAGCACAGCATAAACTGAGTGGTGTGGTAGTGCACATTTGTAGCACTTTAGGGCTAACAGACATTAAGACAAGATGAGAAGTTCGAGGTAATTCTCACCTATACCACTAGCTTAAGGACACCTCAGATACTGAGACCCTGCAATAAATAAATAAAGATAAAATTGCTAATAAGTGACAGAACCACTCTTCCAACCCAGTTTGGTTTTCTGGCCCCTGGTTTTCTTGCCGCCTCCCTCCACACTTTTTTTTTTTTTTAATATAGAAAAGAAGGAAACTATTTTCTTTATTCTTAGTGTCTTAGCTTACAAACTTGCCAAGTAGGAATAGGTGTAACTCTGAGTTCTGTTTTGTTTTTTTGTTTGTTTTTTTATGATTTAGTTTGCCGCTTTTAATTATGTATATGTATGTGTGTGGGAGTATGTGCATGTGAGTGTAGGTGCCAGAGGAGGCCAGAAGAAAGCACCAGATCCCCTAAACCTGGAGGTACAGGTGGTTCTGAGCCTGACGTGGGTGCTAACTGAACTCTGGTCCTCCAGAAGACCAGCAAACAACAAGCACTCTTAACCACTGAGCCATCTCTCCAGGCCCTCTAAGAGTTCTTGTAAGGTCACCTTATACCTTATGTATTAAAGTACTTTGAACAACACCTAGCACCTAGTAATCAGATTTCTTTCTTCTTTTTTTCTTTTTGAGATAAGGTCTGACTGTAGCCCAGGTGGCCTTGAACTTCTGATGATCCTTCTGCCTCAGCATCCCTAGTGGTGGGATCACCCATGTAAGTACCACACCTGACAACAAAAAACTGTTTTTAAACTACAATTGTATGGCTTATAATGGGGAAGATTCTATACCCATTTTGCAAATGGACAGGTTGAGGCCCAGAGGTTCCTTTACTTAAGTAGGCTGTTCAAGAAATAAGAAATGGGGGCTGGAAAGCTGGTTCAGTTGTTAAGAGCACTGGTGCTCTTCCAGAGTACTGGGGTTTGGTTCCCAGCACCCATATGACTGCTAACAACTGCCTATAACTCCAGTTCCAGGGAATCACATGCCCTCTTTTAGCCTCCATGGGTTTATACACATGGACGCATTTATATACATGCAGGCAAAATGTACACAGAAAAGTAAAAGCAAATAAAAATTTTAAATAAATCCAAAAAGAAAAGAAAAGAAAAAACAATAAGAAAGGAACCCACCATAGAATTTCACATCCTTTTTTTTTTTTCAATGTGTATGTGTGTATTGCCTGCATGTAGGTAAGTGCACCCGTGTTGTGCAATGCCCATGGAGGACAGAAGAGGCTGTCAGATCCCCTGAAACTGGAGTTACAGACAGTTGTTAGCGGCCATGTGGGTGCTGGGACTTGAACCCAGGTCTTCTGCAAGAACAGCCAGTGTTCTTAACCACTGAGCTATCTCTCCAGCCCCACATCCTTTTAAGACTACACCCCAATGCCTCCCTCCTTAACCTAAGTACCTAGTTCTGCACACTACCCACCTTAACCTTACTAAGTACCTAACTCTACTGTGAGTCTTTGGACATTGAATTCAAGTTATGATTTACTTCACAGGACTGTGTGTGTCTAGAAAGCTAGAACAGTGGCTCATTTCCTCGTTGCCTGGAGGATAGAGTGAGCTTGCTAACTACTGTGGAGTGGAGTAAGTAAAGCCAAGGAAATCAATAGCAAGTATTTATCAAGGGTCAAAAACCTTTTAAAACACTTTGCTTTAATTCTACTAAATATAGCCCTGTAAGGTTGATGAGTAGCCCAGTTTACAGATGAAGAAAATGTAAGAAAGGTACTAGGGCACTTGCCCAAGTGTCTGCTAGTAAGTGGCAGACCTAGGATTTGAATGTAGGGCGTTGCTCTCAAAGCCTGTGCTCTTACTCAGGATTTAGTAGCAACAATAATAATACCTAATGTGTGTTGTTCTTTACAATATAAAGAACACATTTCACATAATGTGGGGGAAGGGACTGAGCTAAATGTACATTGCAACTTGAGAGTTGTTATTAAAGTACAGGCAGACTTCACTTTATACAGTAATGTAGGATTGTAAAAAATGAATATATACTCTGAAATCATGCTTAATGACCTTAATAATCAATGGGAAAATTACAATTTCCTATGACCTTTAAAATTTCTTGAGGCTAGAACTATAGCTTAGTCATATAGCATGTGTTCAGCATGTTCCAGGTCCTTGGTTTAAATCTTAGCACACACAAAAAATTGACATCAGCCAGTTATGGTTTGTTTACATCTGTAATTCCAGCACTCAGGAGGCAGGAGGATTAGGAGTTCAAGGTCATTCTTGGCTATATAGTGACCTTGAAACCAGCTTGGGCATCAGGAATCTGTATCTGAAAACCAAAAGGCCGGAGAGACAACTCCAGCGTCAGGGGATCTGATGCCCCTGGTGTCTGAGGGAACCATCACTCAAGTGCACACACACACAACTAAAAATAAGTCTGTAAAAACAAACAAAACTGAACATCAAAAACATCAGCCAAAAGCAGTGCCCTATACTTGGAATGGCAGCACTCAGGAGGCTGGGATATGGTTTCAAGTTCAAGGCCAGCCTGAGGAACATATCAGGACCCTGCCTCAAAAACTAAAACAAAGTGGATTTAACTAAAATTTTAAAAATTTTAAAATGTGGTTTAAAAACTTTAAATTTGAATAAGATTGAAAATAAGATTGTTTTACTTCTGTTTAAAAAATTACCAAGAGTACTTGGAACACTGTTTGCCCCCTCTCCATAGAGCTTACAATGGGGAGTAAGCATATTTTCTGTACCTTGGCAAATTGTCATTAATTCCTCTCTAAAGTTTTTGTCAACTTCTAACATCTCATCCTTTGTGCTTTCAATGTCATGAAATATCTCTCCAAGAACTCCTTGAATGTGGATTTAAAATTTTTTTACTTTATTTTGTGTATGTTGTGGGTGTGGTGGAGATGAGAGTTGATCCTTTCCTTCCACCATGTGAATCCAGAGAACTTGGGTCTTCGGGCTTGGAAGCAAGTGCCTTTACCCTGTGAGTCATTTTTCAGGCTCTGTGTTTTGGGCTTTGTTTTTTCCTTTTCCTACAATTGCTTTCTCTGCAGTATCTTTTTTTTTTTTTAGACAGGGTCTCATGATGTAGCCCTTGATGGCCTGGAACTCCCTATGCTTTATAGACCAGGCTGACTTGAACTCACAGAGATCTGCCTGCCTCTGCCTCCAGAGTGTTTGCTAGAACTAAAGGCATGTGCTGCCATGCCTGGCCTTGATATTTTATTTATTTTTGTTTATGTTTGTAAGTTTTGCTTGCAGGTATATAAGTGCTGGGATTCATCTCTGTAATGTGAAACTTTTTGGCATACCCATATTCTTTTTTTTTTTTTTTCTTTTTTCTTTTTGAGACAGGGCCTCCCTGTAGCCCCAGCTGGCTTAAACTCCCTATGTAGACCAGGCTGGCCTTGAACTCACAGAGATCCACCTGCCACCTGCCTCTGCCTCCCAAGCCTGGGATTAAAGGTGTACGTGCCACCATGCATGAATACACCCCCATATTCTCACTTTTGCAGTCTGGGGATTAAACCCGGGGCCTCACTCGTGCTAGGCAAGCACTCTGTGACTGATCTACACCCTCATTCCCCTGGCTTTTATTTTTGTTGCTGAGTTTTCTCTTTCATTTATCTAGGTGTGCCACACAGCTTTATCACTAACAAGGAAGGTGTAGAACTATATGCTCTGGTGTGTATAAAATGAATAACTGATTCACAGTGACACATTACCTACAGTGTGTACAGGAACTGACATAACTGGTTGCTGATCATGACACATACCTGTTATTTTCCTAATGATTTATGGAATGAAGAACTACTAGAAACTTGAACTTTATTCACTTACTCATAGTTAATACATGACTGTATTTGGTGATGTTGGGCATCTGGAAAGAGGTTGATTTCTGGGGGCTGGAGACGATGGCTCAGTGGTTAAGAACACTGGTTGTTCTTGCAGAAGACCCAGGTTCGAATCTCAGCACCCACTCTGTAGCTAACAACTGTCTGTAACTCCAGTCCCAGGGGATCCAACAGCCTCTTCTGACCTCGTCGGGCATTGCACGACATGGGTGCGCTTACATGCATGCAGGCAATACATGGATACACATAAAAATAATAAAATTTTTTTAAAAAAGGTTGATTTCTGACATGAAATGCCGTTTTGATACAATGTTGTGTTAAGGGCTAGGGATATAGTTCAGTGGTCAGGTACTTACCTAGCATGTGCATAACCCTGAGTTTGCTCTCGAGCACCACAAAAGGGGGAGGGGGTAATGTTAAGGTGTATGTTTGGGCATCAAGCATTCTGTCTCAGCATCACCTTACAAAGACAAGCATTTTCAGAGGGAAAGCTTCTGAACTTCATCTTTTTCATCAGGATTTTCACAAGTTAATCCTGTTGGTAACACATTGTGTGTTTGTCCCATACCAGTCTACCAGGTGTTTGAGAATGTGGCCAAGAAGTATGATGTGATGAATGATATGATGAGTCTTGGCATCCATCGTGTTTGGAAAGATCTGCTTATCTGGAAAATGCACCCGTTGCCTGGGACCCAACTGCTCGATGTGGCTGGAGGCACAGGTAATGCCAGATTTGGCATTAAGTATCATTTAATATCTGCTATAGAGATTATTATTGTTGAAATGAGTTAGCTCACCTACCATTTTGCTGAAATGAAGGTGGTAGCTTTGAAATCAACATACTTAATAACTTCTGAGAAAGGTTGCAAAATGTCAATCAAAAGCAACTTTGCACTTACCACTTTTCTAAAATAGGATTACAAGGTAAAAAGACCAATTTTTATAAGTATCTTTAACTTTCTTTATTAAATTTTATTTTTTGTGTATATATTTATTTATTTCATGTATTGCTTGTATGTCTGTATGTGCAGACATGTGTACACTGCCCATGGAGGCCAGAAGAGGGTGCTAGATCCCCTGTAACTGGAGTTACAGATGGGTATATGCCTCCACGTGTGTGTTGAGAACTGAGCCCAGGTCCTCTGGAAGAGCAGTAAATACTCTTACTGCTGAGCCATCTCTCTAGCCCCCAAAGACCAAAATTTTTGGTAGCATTTCATCATCTAAATAACCGTTTTACCCAACCCCTATTTTGGTATTTGGGACTGTAGCCCAGGCTGGTCTCAAACTTACTATATAACTAACCCAGGCTGGCCTTGAACTCCTTGCAATCTTCAGTTCTTTTGCCTCTGCCTCCTAAGTGTGAGATTACAGCTCTAGGATGCCTACCATACCCATTTTATCTTTTTTCTCCCCTTGGTGCTGGGGTGTTAACCCAGAGCTTCACAAACACAGTAGACAAGTGTTTTTTCATGGAGCTTTGACCCCCAACATGTTTGTCTTCTGTTTGAAATGTCAAAATCACTTTCCCTCTTTGTTTTTTGGGGGAGCCTTTTATTACACTACATAAGATTTTTAGGCGGCCTTTTCTACTTAATCCACTATCACATCAGGCTTTGAAAGCTTGTAGTCCCAGCATGTGTGAGGCTGAGACTAGAGAATCCAAGTAAGATCAAAACAAGCCTGGGTTATATAATGAGTGTGAGGCCAGCCTGGGCTACAGAGTAAGACCCTACTTAAGAAACCAAAATAAATAGAGAGCGGGAATGTAGCTCAGTTGGTAGAGTGCTTGCCTAGGATGCCGCCTAAAAACATGCTGGGGGTCAAAGCCTGCCACCCTTGGTTTATGCAGTAGTAGGGACTGAGTTCAGGGCTTTCTGCATGTTAGACAAGCACTCTACCAACCAAGCTACATCTATACCTCCCAATATGAAAATTATTTTACATGCCAGTTATGTGGTACATGCCTATAATCCCAGCACTTGGGAAGTGAGGGCATGAGGACCAGGAGCTCAATTTCATCCTCAGCTACATAATGAGTTCAAGGCCAGACTGGGATATAGGAAATAGTATCAAAAACACCTCCAACCTCCTCTCCCCACAAAAGAAAGAGGTTTAATTTAACCAAGGTATGGTTGCATGCACCTATGATCCCAACTCGGGAAATCATAACAGGAGGCTCCTGAGAAGGCCCACCTAGACAACCTAGTGAGACACTGTTTGGGGGTGGGGAGGCAGTTCTTTGAAAGAAGAAACATCCATCTTCATACACATGCATTCCTTTCCTTTGATGTTCTTCAGGGCTTAGGATGCTGTTTCTTTGGTTGTAGTTTGTGTTTTTGTTTGCATCTTTCCTCCTGTTGACTTCCCACAGGTGACATTGCATTCCGGTTCCTTAATTATGTTCAGGCACAGCACCAGAGAAAGCAGAAAAGACAGTTAAGGGCCCAGCAAAATTTATCCTGGGAAGAAATTGCCAAAAAGTACCAGAAGGAAGAGGATCCCTTGGGTGGTTCCCTTGTCATGGTCTGTGACATCAACAGGGAGATGCTAAAGGTTGGAAAGCAGAAAGCCATGGACCAAGGCTACAGAGCTGGTGAGTCCTGCTGGAAACAGGCATGGGGAGCAGCTTTTAACATTGTATTCATTACTTTTATTCTATGTGTGTGAGTGTATTGCCTGCATGTGTGTAAGTGCACCTATATCCTGCAGTGCTGGAGGAGGTTAGAAGAGGGGGTTGGATCCTATGGAACTGGAGTTACAGACAGTTAGCTACCATGAAGGTGCTAGGAATCTAACCCAGATCCTCTGCAAGGCAGCCAGTGCTCTTAACTGCTGAGCCATCTCTCCAGCCTCACAGGAAGTATTTTTATTCTTATAAAATAAGAGGGGTTGGAGAGATGGCTCAGTGGTTAAGAGCTCTGACTGCTCTTGCAGAGGACCCAGGTTTGATTCCCAGCACCCACATGGCAGCTACGAACCGTCCTTAACTCCAGTCCCAGGGGAATCTGAAGCCCTCTTCTGACCTCCTCGGCATTGCATGACACGGATGCACTCACATACATGCAGGCAATACACTCATACACATGCAAATAAAAATAATAAATAAAATATTTAAAAATAAAATAAGAGGAATTACATCAAACACTGAAATGCCTTATATTCTAGCTTTTGGAAACAACAGATAGACAGGAGTTGAAGATGGTGTGGCTGAGGATGATAGGATACCTATGCACCTATGCACAGCTCGTACACAGTTCTCACTATCCGAGCAGCATGTTAAGCTTGGTGAGCAGTGTTGTGTGACTCAAAGAGGTTATTATTTATATTCGTGTTTGCGCACATGTGTGTGTGTGTGTGTGTGTGTGTGTGTGTGTGCCATGTCACACACATGGAGGTCAGAGTTGTGGGAGTTGATTCTTCTTTCCTTCTACCATGTGGATTCTAGGTACTGAACTCAAGTCATTAGGCTAGGCAGCAAGCACCTTTATCTACTGAGCCATCTCACCAGTCCTTATTTAATAATATTAAATTCAAATCAGTATCCTTCAAGAGCATAGCCACACTGATAAGGAGTTGATATTTTTAAAATTCAGAACCAAGCCAGTGGTACAGGCTTGTAATCCTAGATATTTGGTAGGCTAAGGCAGGAGAATTAAAAATTCAGGCCAGTGCCTTTAATCCCAGCACTGGGGAGGCAGAGGCAGGTGGATCTCTATGAGTTCAAGGCCAGCCTGGTCCACATAGTGAGTTCCAGGACAGCTGGGGCTACAGGGAGACCCTGTCTCAAAAAAAAAAAAAAAAAAAAATTCAGGCCAGCCTAGGCTATAGAGTGAGTTCTAGGCCACCCTGGACAACTTAGTAAAACCCAAATAAAAAGTGAAAAATAGGGTTGGGGCTGGGTATGGTGGTGCACATCTACCCAGTACTGAGGAGGTAGAGGCAGTAGGATTCCTGCAGGTTGGTAGCATGTACCCCTGCATTTAATCCCTAGCACCACATAAACCAGGTATGGTGGCACATGCTTATAATCCTAGTACTTGGGAGGTAGAGACAAGAGGATCAGAATTTCAAGGTTATTCTCAGCTATATAATAAATTTGAGGCCAGCCTCAGTCTGTCTGGATCCTTCCCCAAAAAACAAAATAAACCAAAGGTGGTAGGGGAGAGGTAGTTCTAGGGATTGCACCCAGGGGCTTATGCATGCTAACCATACATGCTGCTAAACCACACTTGATCCTCTTCAAATATTTTCAGTGTTGAACCTACAGATAGAGAGTTTTTAGATATGAATGGCCAACTGTGTAAATTTGCATATGCTAAATTCTATACTTATGAGTCACTCATTAGGGGCTGGAGAGATGGCTCAGTGGTTAAGAGCACTGACTGCTCTTGCAGAGGACCTGAGTTTGGTGCCTGGCTAACAGCCATCTGTAGCTCCAGTTCCAGGGGATCCAATGCACTCTTCTCACCTCCTTGGGCATTGCATGTATAAGTGCACTTACATGCATGCAGGCAAAATACCCATACACATAAAATAAAAATAAATACAATTTTTAAAAATTAAAATGTAGGGCTGGGCATGGTGGTACATGCCTTTTATCCCGGCACTTAGGAGTCAGAGGCAGGTGGATATCTGTGAGTTCAAGGTTAGCCTGGTCTACATAATGAGTTCCAGGCCAGCTGGGGCTACAGAGAGACTCTGTCTCAAAAAGACAAAAAATTTAAAAATTAAAATTAAATAGTAAAAAAAAGAGTCGCTCATTAAAAACTTCCGGTAACTCTCAATCATATATTCTGTTTTACAGATAAACTGAAATAGGAGCTGGAGAAATGACTCAGTGGTTAAGAGCTCTTCTTGTTTTTTCCAAGTTCCTGAGTTTGGTTCATAGCACCCAAATCCTGTGGCTCACAACTGCCTATAACTCCAGCTCCAGGGAATCCAATGCTTTTTTTCTGGCTTCTATGGGTATTTGCATACATGTGGCATGCACATACACACAGACACACACAAACACACTATGCATTAAAAAAAGAAAAAAGACACTGAAACAAAGACTATATAAGATTAAATCACAGGGACTAGAGGTGTGGCTTGATGGTAGAGTGTTTGCATAGTGTATATGAGTCTCTGGATTTGATGCTTAGCACTGGAAAAAAATATGTATATAACTAGCAAATGATGATAATGAAACTAGAATTAAAATCCTGGTAGTCTGTCCTCAAAACCTAGCATCTTAACCATAGCGCTGTGCATGAAATACTTGGTTGGAGAAAAATTGCTTTGAGGTAGGGCTGGATATGTAGCTCAGTAGCAGCCTTTGCCTAGCATCCCCTGGGTTTGATCCCCAGCACTGAGAGAAGAAAAGTGCTCAAGGGTAGATATCACTAAATAAGCATGAAGCTGTACTCTGAGACCCTTGGAAAAAGGGGTTCTGCTGAACTTCAAAGACACCAGCTTCAGGGTCTCAGAGCTGGAGGACACCAGCGAAGACCGTGGCCTGGAGTATAAGAAGGCAGTTATGTGATATTTTCTGACACTAAATGTATGGGGCTTCCCCACCATCAGACAAATCTCCAGCTCCCTGGCACCAAAGCAGATGCTCAGTAAGTCACTTCAGTTCTGCCATTACCCAGATTTTGCATCATACCCTACAGATTTAAGGGCTCAGTGCCACTAGACTATCTCTGCTAGTTACATGTTGGTAACTAGGATACTCACATGTCTTACCTGGCTGGCTACAAATTCCTGATTCAGTGATTCTCCAGTGCAGGGGACATAGCCACCCAGTGTCATACTCAGAACTGGCTTTGTCTTCCAGGACTTTCGTGGGTGCTGGGAGATGCTGAAGAACTGCCCTTTGATGACGACAAGTTCGACGTGTACACCATTGCCTTTGGGATCCGGAATGTCACACACATTGACCAGGTATGAAAGGCTGTGTGCTCAGCTTTGTGGCTTTGAGCATGGCAGTTCTCCAATGAATCTCCTGGAGAGGACAGGAAAGGTTTTCCTCTGGGCCCAGTACTTAATAGGAATGACTATTTTAAGCTTAGGGGTTTCTTTTTTTTTCAAGTTGCCAATTTTTCTAGTCATAAAATTGAACCAAAAATCATAGAGCACTCCCAGTAGAACTCTGTTGCTCGGGTTGGCATTTACATTCTCTGGATCGTTAGTCCTGCTGTGGCATTTCATCTCTTTGTGAAGCTTTCTGTGAGTTTGACTCTGTGAAGTCAAGTGAAGCTTTCTGTGAGTTTGCAGATCAGAGGCTGACACAGAAGAAGGCACTCAGATGCTATTTGGCAGAAGGTAGAGTCATGGTTCATCTTTGGGGAGAAGGGAATGTTCATTTCTTAATCTGACTCAGCGCTTTATTTCTACTTGAACATTCTGTCCAAAACATTTAAGTGCAAGACAACTGCTTTCTTTTCTGAAATATGGGCTCCAGTTGTCTGACTCTTCTGCTTGTGGTTGGACATTTTTTTAAAAATATATTTTATTTATTACTTTTATGTGTATGCATGTATTGCCTGCATGTAGGTAAGTTGTACCCATGCTGTGCAATATGCGTGGCGGACAGAAGAGGCTGCTGGATCCCCTGGAACTGGAGTTGCAGACAGTTGTTAGCTGCCATGTGGGTGCTGGGATTTGAACCCAGGTCTTCTGCAAGTACAGCCAGTGTTCTTAACCACTGATCCATCTCTCCAGCCTGATTATGGAAACTTTAAGAGGCGGAGCCTTGCTGGAGGAAGTGCATCAATGGGGGTAGGCCTTGAGGCTTTATAGTCTTGCCCCACTTCCTGTCTACTCTCTGCTTCCTGGCTGCAGATACATGTGACCAGACACTCACACTCTTGCTGCCATTCAGTCCTTGCCTTGATGATCTGTATCCCCTCCAGCTGTAAGCCAAAACAAACCTGCCCTCTGCCACATGGCTTCTAGTCAGGTGATGGATCACAGCAACTGGGAAAGGAACTTACAGCTGGTCTCACAGGATCACACATCTTGGGCTAAAAATGCTGAAACTGGTTCTGGAGGGGTTTTTTTTTTGCAGAAGGCATGATCTAATGTGCATGATGAAAATGTGAAAGATAGATTGAGTGGTAAAGGCTTCTGTGACTCAGAGGAGAGAGGAGACAGTGACTGTGACCAGTGGGGTGGCCATGGTGATGAAGAAAGCAGATGGATTTGAGAGGCATTGCATACCCCAGCAGGTCTTGGTGATAGACTGGATGTAGGAAGATTGGATTCAAATGGAGAAAAAAATTGTGGCCATGGGGCTGGAGAGATGGCTTAGTGGTTAAAAGCACTGGCTTCTCTTGCATAAGACCTGGGTTCAGTTCCCAGGACCCACATGGAGGCTCACAGCATCTGCAACTCCAGTTCCAGGGTTATCTGATTCCCTCTTCTGACCTCCATGGGCATTGCATGAGAT